CATGTTAAATGATTTTCTTGGACAATTTTTCCCCTGGTTTGGGGCATTTTGGTTAGGGTTTTAGGCTAGTTTTAGTGATCCTAGATTCATCCTTTCATTTAATGTACCATGAGGGTTTCATTTCTGTTTGCCTAGTTTTGGTAGGACTTTGTCCTCATGCTTTTGGCCCCTGTTTGCCAATACCTTAGGGGCCATCTAGGATTTAATTTGGTAATTTTTGAGTATGTTTTATATTTTTAGGGTATTTTCGAAATTAGATGTCCTATAATTGGTGTTTACACTAGGGCTTGACCTAGTTTATGTTGAAAAGGACTTTTGTGCATTATGTGAGCCATTAACTCTAGTGGATTCATGCTATAAATATAATAAGGGGTTTGTATGCTCCATTTTAGGTCCAAATTATGTTCATAACTTGTTCAAGGTTGTGCATCTTTTAGAACTTTCAATTAGGGTTCATATGCGGCATATCATGCATCCTTTTGTGAATTGTTTTGCATTTTACCTTATGCATCCTCTTTCTCTTCTCCTTTTGCATTCCATATGAATGCTTGAGGTTGAGATGGACTTGTCAAGGCTCCTGCCCCACACTATTTTCCTCCCTCACTTTCATTCTAAGTGTGCATTATGTTTTCATAGTTGCATACTTGCATTTTACTTAATGTTTTCTTCTTCTTTCACATGTACCATGTTCCCTTAGGGTTTCTCATCCCCTTGTTTAATTATGATGATGATAGAATTTAGGAGGAAGCCATGTATGACAACATTAGGATAGAATTCCCTTTTCATCCCAACTTTAAGACCACTTTGCATGATAATTTTAGGGTTTGATTTAGTCCCCTTTAGAGTCCTTTCTCTCTTCTCATCTCAAAACAATTCTAAAACACATAATAAAGGCTAATGAATGTTGTACGCTACGAGCCTTAAGTACTTGGGAAATGATAATTGAGCGGGTTCCTCTCAATTGTCTAGAGTGTTTAGTGTACGTCCTTTGGATGATACGTGACACATTTGCTCCTAAGTCATATTCTTTAGTGCAACATGAGTTACAAACATTAAACTCAAAACACTTCTTTACTAAAAGACTTTTAAAAAAAATCATCAAACTTCATTTTTTACTTTGGGACCCTTAATGTGGAAAACCATTTTCTAAAAAGAGTGTTGTTAAGCTTTGGTTCTACTGCAAACAGACGTCATCCCTAATTGCTAGAACGAAGGTTTAACCCTACTCGGATAAAGCATACGAACAAAACGATGTTCTTATCATCCCGAACTACATTTGCTCTGATTTCTCATACCAGATGAGGATATGTAGGCACAAGACGGCGATGTCTTGGCGAGCAACCTTTCCCCACTTTCACCCGTAGTTTGCCGAACTACGTTGACTCTGACTTTCCCATTGCACGAGGGAATACATAGGCATAGAGCGACGATGCTCTATCGAGTCTCTTTCCTTTTTCCTTTGTCCCTGAGACCTTTAGTTAGATAGATAAACACCCTTTAGATAAATAACAAGCGTGGATCCCGTTGAGTACAACGGACGTGAGGGGTACTAATACCTTCCCCTTGCGTAACCGACTCCCGAACCTAGGACTTGGTTGCGATGACCTCGTCTTTTCCCTTTTTCGCTAGGTTTTCTCTGATCGTTTCCTTTCCCTCTTTTGGGATAAATAACGAACGGTGGCACGTGTAATATATATATATATATATATATATATATATATATATATATATATATATATATATATATATATATATATATATATATATATAGTGAGAATGAATAAGAACCATTAGATTTAAAAAAGGAAAGGTTGAGATTAAAAGATATTTTTAATGATTTCTCTTCCCTCTTAGTGATACATGATTTAGTGAAAATCACAGTTTAATGTCAACCTTTCATTTTTAAATCTGATGATTCTTATTCATTCTTACATTCTCATATAACTTACTCATTTTCACTAGATATGCTCCCTATATATATACTAGCGTCCAGACAGATGCTTGCATGTCCGTCTGTCCGCTTTTTGAATGTACACACGTAAAAATATAAATAATATTTTTTTATTTAATTTTAATTAGAATGGAAGTTATGTAGGAAGTTATTAGTAAGAAATTATGTAAATGATGATAATAATGGTGCAATGGAAGTTATTGTGTAACTAATGTTAAAATAGAAGAAGACCATTTATTTTGGTTTCTATTATTCTTTGCCTCAAAAATTGATGTTGAATTTTTTCGTAATTCACAACAAGATTCACAACAAGCGGTGCAGTGAGCATGGATCAAAGAGATACTATTGACAAGTGAGCCTCATGGTTAGTAGATGGCAGATCGAGAAATTTTTCTGTAACAATGACTTCGGGTTATGGAAAATTAAGATGCAAGCAATTTTAATTCAAGAGAAGTGTATCGATGCTTTGAAGAATGAATCATTGATGCTTGCAGGGCTTACACATGTACAGAAGACCGAGATGATGAATAAGGCCAGTAGTGCCATTATCTTGTGCCTCAGGGATAAAGTTCTAAGAGAAGTCGCCAGGGAGCAAACTGCGGTTGCTATGTGAGTAAAACTTGAATTATTGTATATGATAAAGTCTTTGGCTCACAGGTTGTATCTAAAACAACAAGTTTATTCATTTCGAATGGTGGAGAACAAATCCATAGTGAGCAACTCATAGAATTTCACAAGATTATCGATGATCTTGGGAATATTAAAGTGAAGATTGATGATGAGGACAAGGTTTTGCTCCTGTCGAGTTCATTACCCAAATCCTTTGAGCACTTTAAGGATGCCATTCTTTATGGTAAGGAAGGTACTATTACTTTGGATGAAGTCCAGACGGTGGTGAAATCCAAAGAATTTTCAAAGTCAAAATATTTGAAGATTTAAGATAGTGGTGAAAGCTTAAATGTGTCTAGAGGAGGAGGTGAACATAAAGGGATGTCTAAATCAAAGAGGTCTGACAAGTCAAAGGTAAAATATTTTATTTTTCAGAAAATCAGTCACTTTAAAAGGGATTTGTCCTGAAAGAAAGGTCAATGAAAATTCCATTCAAGTTGTAGTTACATTGGATGAGGAAAATTATGAGGATGCCGAAGCACTAGTAGTATCGATTTTGGAAACTGAAGATAATTGGGTCATTGACTCAAGTTGCTCTTATTACATGTGTCCCATAATAGAATACTTTGAAACTTTGAAGATGGTGCAAGGTGGAGTAGTCCGCCTTAGTAATAATAAGGCATGCAAGGTTCATGGTATTGGTACAGTTAGATTTAAAATGTTTAATGACCGTGAACTTCTTATTCACAATGTGAGGTATGTTCCAGAACTCAAGCGAAATTTGTTATCTATAAGTATGTTTGATGATCTAGACTATTGTACTAGAGTTGAACGTGGAGTCTTGAAGATTTTACGTGATGAATTTATTATTGCTAAATGGTCTAAAATATGTGGTCTGTATATTTGAGAAGGTTCAAATGTTATTATTCATTCATCATTAACTAGTGGAAGATTTCATGACAAGGAAGGGCTGTGGGATTTGAGTTTAAGGCGTTATGAATGTCTTTAGAAAGTTTCAGAGGAGTACAATGAATTTTGCAGAAATCAAGGGATAAAGTTATTATTGAGTTTTTGGGGAAGAGTTGAGGTTAAAACAACTTACTTGGTTGTTAGAGAATTTCTTCAAAAGAAGAATATTGAAAACCAAGGGAAACTATAACGGAGAAAACTCAATTTGAGGTGGAATTTCCTACTATGGATGTCAGCAGTAGTGAGAGAACAATTACAGAGATCTCTGATTATCATTTGATTCATGCTAAGATACTTAGGGTTATTGTAGCATCTCAAAGGGACAATTATGCTAGCCTTGGATATTATGTTTTTAATGTGGCTGAAAGTCTGTAAAGTAAAAGAAGAAAAACCTTTAGGGAGGCATTTGAAAACAGGTGGAGTCAAGGGTGGTTGAAAAGTCATACTTGTAGGCTTGTTAAATTACCTAGGTAGAAAAGGATAATTGGGAACAAGTGGATTCAAGTTGCGAGATCAAGATTCAAGGGTTGCTTGAACTTGATCAAAGTTATTGATTTAAGTTTCAACTTGGTAGATAGCAGCAGTGTTGTTGATTGTTAAATTGGTATCAACACGGTTTAAAGTCAAGGTGGAGATTGTTGTAAATGTGCCTTAAAACCTTTGTAGATGAAGAGAAAGAAAGCATATTTTGAAGATTGCATTTACCGCGAAAATCAGACGAAAAGTCGAGAGGAAAAAATTAGTCGGTGAATAGTGTCGTTTGTACAATGATATTCGTACGGATGAATAGTAACGTCCGTACGGTGATACCATGTTAAGAAGTGTGGTTGGGCCTAACTCAACCCTACAAAACCGGTTGGTAGAGTGAGGATTGCTCCCACTTATAAACACATGTTCATGCCATATATTGTCCGATGTGGGACTCTTAACACACCCCCTCATGCTTAGGGCTGGACAACTGAAGCATGGAAATAAATGGTGGGTGGCCCGATAGCGGAAATCATAGAAGGTGGTACGGTGAATAATGTTTTTATATTTTGGACTTTTTTCGATTCGGTCCATGAATCCATGTGACTTTGGACTTTGTTTGTTGGATATTTGCTATTATAAATATGTATTTCTTATATGCTTGGTGTGTGACAATCTTAGAGTTTTCACCAACAAGTGAGACCAATAATTTAAAGGTATAACATAAAATTTCAGCTATATAAAAAAAAAATCTTAAATTGTGATAAAAAAATGTTATCATAATTTACAATAAAATTCAAAACAATCGTTGCATTTTAAAGGTATGACACGGATGAAGGACTTTGCCACCCAAAATTAAACAACAAAATATAAAGATTAAAGAAAACAAAGTTTAAACTTAAATTAACTTGAAATATGTGACTTCATTGGTATATCTTGTTTTTGAGTTTGAAAAATCATAGTCTGCCACTATCTTACCGGAGGTTGGGGAGACAAACAGAACATGAAGAGTCTAAATTTATCTTCCTACCCTAATCCCATAATTTCCCCCCGCCGTTCATCCTCTCCCACAACTCACAACGCTGTCTATGCTATTCCTCCATCTCCTTCTCTTCTAACTCAACAAAATTCTCTCAGGTAATGCCTTCTTCCTTTACTCATTTCATCAATAACCAACCTTTAGACTAATAACTACTACTCCTATTCCAGGTTCGCCGTTCTTGGCGCTGGTTTCGCTGGCCTTTCTGTCGTTTGGCATTTGTTCAAGGTACTTTTCTTTCTTTAGTAGAAATGATTCAATGTAACTAACCCTAATGTTGGTGAGAACTAACCTTGCAGCAAAGTTCTAAGGAGTTAAACCTAAAAATTGATATATATGATGAAGTCGGTATTGGGGGCGGTGCTTCTGGAATCTCTGGAGGTCTTCTTCACCCTTATTCCCCAAAAGGTACAACATTTCTCATTTTTCATCTTCAACTAGTTTCTATGGATTTAATGGCTTATTGTCTTCTAATTTCATGTCATTGTTTGGAATATCCTGAATGATCTAGTTAAGCCTCTCTGGGAGGCTGCTCAGTGTTGGAAAGAGAGCATTAAGCTCTTGAGAATTGCCGAAGAAGCTAGTCTTGAAGAAGACATGAAACCTTTTGTGGTTAATAAAAGGTATTCTAAGATTGAAAAAGTTTTCTTTTAGTTTGAAAACTCCATATACTGTATTTATTTTCCATTTACGCCGTCCTCCATTGGAATCTTAGAGTTTCTTTGCAATGCTGATGATCAGCTGACTTCAGGGGTATCTTACGACCGGCAATGGATATGAAGAACGTGACCAAATTGAATGATGTAATGTCTCTGTGTGATTTGATACATTGCGGAAATATTGGTTATATTAGACTTGAGTTTCTTACTGATAATCTTCCTTTATGTTATTTTTAGAACGCCGAGAATTGTCTTTCTTGCTGCAGAGTAGAAAGATTTAATAATGAAGAGGCTCAGGGTATCTTACCTGGTGTATTATTACCATTTAACACAGCTTTCTTTATGCCTGAAGCTATAAATATCAATCCTCAACACTACCTTGAGGTTTGCATGACTAGTTTTAAAATTTTCTGATGTGTAAATTCTTTTCCTTTATTTATTTTTTTATTTTTATGTTACCACTGACTTTCATTCCTTTTGATAATACTAATAGGCGCTTTTTCGAGCATGTGAGAATTTAGTGAAAGAATCATCCTGTCAGGACTCTGGAGAGAAACAGCTCAGTTTACACAAAAAATCTGTCCATGGACTTTCTGAGTTTGAAGGTAATAATAATGCTATGCAATTCTTTTAGGTTTTTGTTCTTTTATTCATCGTGTTGTTCTCTGAGTGTAAACATGATATCTACTTTTGATTTTTCCTCTAAATTAGGTGGATGCGACAATTTGAGTTTTGTATTTTTCTGCAAGACAAATTTAATGCTGTAACGAATGAGTAGGGGGGATTGGGTAGTTAATCTCATATAGTATTGCATAGCACTTACCCCCTAAAATGCTATAGCGGTATAGCGGATTGCCATCTGGGTACAAAATAAACATAAATACTCAAAAATAGAAAAATACACAAAATTAAAGAGACCATCATACTTAATAGTTAAAGAACTTAAAGTATATATCAATGAACAATGAAGGAGAATATAAAAAAACAGAGCTAAAAGTAAGGATGGAGAACAAAACGATTGTTTGTGAGCAAGAAAATAACAGGATGAAGAATAGAACATTACCTTTAAAAGAGTTGGGACATGGGATTGAAATTTACGCTCTTAAAAAAAATTGAGCGATTTTAATAAAAGAGCTTAGGGAATTTACCCATGTAACCCTAATAGCAGATGTGATAGCACTTTGGAACCGCATTAGCAGCCGCAGCAACCATGCTGACAGTGGCCCGCAGGCCAAAACTGTCACGCTGAACCCTACCACCGCTACACTATTATGGTATAGTGCGCAAGTGACAGTCTAGGTTTAAGCTAAGGTTAAAAGGAGTTGAAGGAGAAAATACTAACCTAACAACTAATATTTGCCTACCTGAAAAACAAATCTATAAAGAATAAGTAATCATATTTAGATGGCATTGGTTTGAGAATCAACCAGAATAATAAATTCATCACCTTTGACTAGAAGTTGACTGGAATGAAAAGAAACATGATTGAACATTGAATGTAGTTTGCAACGAGTAAAGACTAGTTTACAAAACCAACTTGTAAGCACGAGTTAGCCCCAACCACAATTCTAAGATGGTATCGGAGTCTTGTTTAAGATTCGTTGGGTCACCTGCTATTAGGTTCAGGCCATTAGGCCACCCATCATTTATATCCACACCCCAAGTCCAATAGAGTTGGGTGTGTTAAAAGTGAGGACAATCCTCACCTTACAAGTTGGTTTTGTAACTTTGAGTTAGCCCCAACCACAATTATAATAAATCAAAATGGCGTAAAACATTATTGGCAACGGAGAAACCGACAGTGTTTCAAGGAAAATCAAGGAAACAAACCTGATAGCAGCTATGTTGAACTAAACAGCCAAGCAGTCATGACTCAACAGAGGAGAAGATTATAGAGTAAAGACGAGAGGAATTATTTTGTGGAGGGCAGTAGCCACATGGATATGAATCATTTCCTAGAAGGCTGTAGCCACATGGATAGATATCTGTATGAAGCCAGCATCAACGGAAGTGGGTCTTCACTAAGGATGGAGTTATAGGCCCTTAACATAGTAACTGTTGAAATACAAGAGACTAAGAGACATGAATAAACCGTGTGTTTTGAAAAGCACTACGGAGACATTATTATATATAAATAGATTACACCTAATTACATAATATAGTCGATGTGAGACTATTCTATATACAAATATTCTTAACACTTTATATATATTTACAAATATCAACGCTCCCCCTCAAGCTTGGGCATATAAGTCAAATGCACCAAGTTTGTTACATATATAGTTAGTTCTGGGGCTTCGTAGGGATTTTGTAAACACATCTGCCAATTGATCATTAGAGTTGACAAAGCTTGTGACGATGTCGCCTGACTCGATCTTCTCTCTGACAAAGTGACAGTCTATCTCAATATGTTTGGTCCTCTCATGAAAGACTGGATTTGAAGCAATGTGCAATGCAGCTTGATTATCACAAATAAGTGTCATTGGTCTTGCTTCTTCAATTTGAAGTTTCTTGAGCAACTGTTTTAACCAAATAAGTTCACATGTTGCCATTGCCATCGCCCTATACTCTGCCTCGACGTTTGATCTTGCAACTACATTTTGTTTCTTACTTTTCCAGGATATAAGGTTTCCTCCAACAAGTACACAATACTCAGAGGTGGATCGTCTATCAATGGGTGATCCTGCCCAATCAGCATCAGAGTATCCAATTATTTGGGTATGTCTTTTATCCTCATACACAAGACCTTTTCCTGGAGCACATTTGATGTATCTCAAAATCCGGATAACAGCATCCATATGTTCCTGACAAGGGGAATTTAAAAACTGGCTTATCACACTGACTGCAAAAGAAATGTCCGGACGAGTGACTGTGAGATAATTCAACTTTCCAACCAATCTCCTATACCTTCCTGAGTCAGATAGAGGCTCCCCCTGATTGGGTAGTAATTTAACACTTGGATCCATAGGAGTATCGGCTGGTTTAGCATTTAACAAACCTGTTTCTTCCAAAATATCCATAGCATATTTCCGCTGAGAAATCACCAAACCATCTTTAGATTGGGCTACTTCAATACCCAAGAAATAACGGAGTTTACCAAGATCTTTTGTCTGAAATTGTTTCGAGAGATGTTGTTTCAACTGGAGTATTCCCTGCTGATCACTACCAGTTATGACAATGTCATCTACATACACAATAAGATAAATACACCCTTGGGGTGAGTGACGATAAAAAACAGAATGGTTAGCTTCACTACGGATCATACCAAACTGTTGTACTACAGTGCTGAATCTGCCAAACCAAGCTCTCGGAGATTGCTTAAGACCATAAAGAGACCTGTGTAGCCTACAAACCATATTCGATGACTCCCCCTGAGCAACAAACCCAGGTGGTTGCTCCATATATACTTCCTCTTCAAGATCGCCATGTAAGAATGCATTTTTGATGTCAAGTTGATGAAGAGACCAATGTCGAATGGCTGCAATGGCTAGAAGAAGTCTAACAGATGCCATCTTGGCTACAGGCGAAAAGGTATCACCATAATCCAACCCAAAAATTTGAGTGTATCCTTTGGCTACTAAGCGAGCTTTAAATCGATCAATCTTGCCATCTGGACCAACCTTCACTGTATAAAGCCAACGACAACCTACTAAAGATTTTCCATGGGGTAGAGGAACCAGTTCCCAGGTACCACTGCTTTGAAGAGCACACATTTCATCAATCATTGCTTGCCTCCACTCAGGGTGAGATAATGCTTCACCTGGAGTTTTAGGAATAGAAACAGAAGACAAAGAAGACAAACAAGTATACTGCAAAGGGGAAAGACGATGATAACATAAATCAATATAATGTGGAGAAGGATTTCGTGTTTGACGTATACCTTTTCGAAGGGCAATCGGAAGATCAGACTCAGGTTGCAGGATCGCATCCGGTGATGGCGAGAGCGTCGGAGGAGAGTCCGTAGTGACCTCAGGGACAGGTACAACTTCAGGGACAGGTACGACTACAGGGACAGGTACAACTTCAGGGACAGGTACGACAGACTTTGGGTGACGACGCTGATATGTTTGAAGTGGGCGAGTGGGGGGGTCAACCGTAGGGGTAACTAGTGGGTCAGGTTCCCTAGAATGATGGGGGATAATGACAGATGGGACTTCCAGAAGAGGTGTGAGAATACTTTCCCGTAGAGGTTCTGTAGTTACTTGGCTTGATTCGAAATATGGAACAGACTCGAAGAAGGTAACATCGGCGGATACGAGGTATCGTTGTAGAGTATGTGAGTAGCAACGATAACCTTTTTGGGATCGATGATAGCCAAGAAAGACACACTTTAGTGATCGGCTGATAGTTTATCAAGACCAGGGGAGAGATTGTGTACAAAACACGTTGACCCGAAGACTCGAGGAGGAATTGGGTGGAGTGGAGAGTTTGGAAACAGGATTGAATGAGGGATTTTATTATTAAGGACAGATGAGGGCATGCGATTTATGAGGTAACATGCTGTGAGCACCGCATCTCCCCAAAACCGAAGAGGAACATTACCATGGAGAAGTAGTGTCCGAGTGGTTTCTACGAGGTGCCAATTTTTGCGTTCGGCTACCCCGTTTTGTTGGGGTGTATGAGGGCAAGATGTTTGGTGCAAAATACCATTGGATGACATAAATGTTTGAAATTGTTGGGATAAATATTCACGTGCATTGTCACTTCTTAGGGTACGAATAGATAAACCAAATTGGGTTCTTATTTCTCGATAAAATTGTTCAAAAATAGAAAACAATTCAGACTTGTTCTTCATTAAAAATAACCATGTGCAACGTGAAAAATCATCAATAAAGGTTACAAAATACCTAGACTCAAAAGTAGACACGGTACGTGAGGGACCCCAAACATCGGAGTGGACTAAAGCAAAAGGGGACGCAGCCCGTTTATTGACTCGATCGGAAAAGTGACTACGAGTATGTTTCCCTAACTGACAAGACTCACAATGTAAAGTGGATAATTTAGATAAACTGGGCACCAACTTTTGTAGCTTGGGAAGACCTGGATGACCTAACTGCGCATGTATAATGAGTGGAGAATCTGTGGTGGAGCATGTGGTAGATGACGTAGAGAAGTAGTAGAGGCCTTGAGACTCACATCCGACGCCAATCGTCTGTCCCGAACTCCGATCCTGCAGAGTAACATTACTATTAGTAAAGGTGATAGAACAATTAAGGGAACGAGTTAAACGACTGACTGACAGTAAATTAAATGGGCAATTAGGTACATAAAGGACAAAAGTAACAGAGAGAGACGGTAAAATTTGAACAGTACCAATCCCTTGGGATCGGGTTTGAGAACCATTTGCTGCAGTTATAATAGGCAAGAAACCAGAGGTAGAGAGGGAGGAAAAAAGACCTTTATTACCAGTAACATGATCAGACGCACCAGAGTCAAGGACCCAAGGACCAAGAGGAGATGATTGAGAGAAGCAAACAGATGAATTACCAGTGTGTGCAACCGAAGCAGTGGAACCAGAGATCTGATTAGTCTGACACCATCTGAGAAAATCTTCGTAGCTTGGCGTAGGGTTCTGAATAGAAGGTGAAGTCTGCATAGTTTCTGAGTTATCACTTTGAGCTGCATTTACCTGGCGTGGGGGTTTGCCATGTAGCTTCCAACAACGGTCGATAGTATGTCCAAGCCGGTTACAATGGTTACACTTGGGACGAGGTTTGGAGTTGGATGACCCTCCTCGAGGACGACTCTGATTGTTGCCCAGAGATGCGAGGGCAGCAGTGTCACCTGGTGTAGCAACAGTAGATGGAGGGGAAACCGGACCAAACGCATGAGGTGTAACCAAGTGCAACAGTTGTTCACTAACTGCATCATAGTTAGGAACAGTAGTACCTGATAAAATTTGGTTACGAACGGAGTCGAGTTCGGATGGTAGTCCTTTAAGTGCCATCACCATGAAAAATTTACTCTGTTGTTCGGCATGAGCTGTTGCGTCTTTTGTGTACGGCATGAGGGTTGCGTAACTTGCTTTCAAAGCATGAAGGTTACTCAGATAGGTTTGCATATCCATATTTTCCATCTTTAGTGTGTCGAGTTTGAGGATGACACTGTATAGACAATGAACGTCGTTGTAGAAGACTTTCTTGGCCTTTTCCCAAACTTCATAGCAAGTGAAGGCTTGATACTGTGCTTGGAGGTTAGGTGCTATGGAGAACCATAACACGGTAAGGAGAGAGGCATCTGTTTTCTTCCATTTAGCAAGTTTGTCGGAGGCAACATTAGTCAATTGTGTGGTTAGGTGATCTTCATATCCCTGACCACGAAACCACATATCGACAACACGCGCCCATATGTTATAGTTTGCTGATCCGGTCAATTTTTCACATAGGAACTTTAGTAAACGAGTCTCCCATAGCTTAATGACACAAACAATCGGGGTTGCTTGCACTGGAGCACCGTTTTCCGTGAGTCGGAAAGTAAAACAGAGGCCGGATCTGGAATGAGTAGATCAGCAGAAAAGCAGTAAAACAGAGGCCGGATCTGGAATGGGTGAGGAGAGGTGAGTAGATCAGCAAAAAAACGGTATGGGTCAGAAAGAATTGTCTCTTGTTAATAGGCTCTAGATACCATGTTGAAATACAAGAGACTAAGAGACATGAATAAACCATGTGTTTTGAAAAGCACTACGGAGACATTATTATATATAAATAGATTACACCTAATTACATAATATAGTCGATGTCGGACTATTCTATATACAAATATTCTTAACACTTTATATATATTTACAAATATCAACAGTAACAAAGCTTTCTTCACCGGGATTGCTGTGCGGGGTGTTACTAACAAGGTGGTTGCTGCCACGTCAGTGGAATTGCAGGACCTCTGGATGTTAAAATAAAATTGAGGGGCGTGGTATTGTGTAGACTGCTTCCACCAATTAAACTGTTACACTTGGGCCTGTTTGTTTATGACCCTACGAAATAAAGGGAAGCAGCGAGGGTCATGAAGTTTATCTCATTGATTAAACCAGTATTGCTTGAACCTCCATAGTCAGTCAATTAGGTAGTGTTGGATATGTCTTCAAATTACAATCATGAAAAGGGTGAACAAGAATTATGTAGGAAAGAGAAAATCTGAGAGGGTGTTGAGAATGAACGATCACATGATTCATCACACGAGTCTTAGCGATGTTGATCCAAAATCAGACTTTTCCTCTTATGATTGTCACTCGGATTGGCAAGCTAGAAAAAACAGCACCTCCCTCCAATTTGTAACAAACTCGGGAGAATTAGTCGGAGTGAAATAGGGCTTATCATTCAACTGATGTACTCTCTTTTGATTCCAATAAATACTATATTCTCAATCTGATTCAATAATGATGATACTTCTTCCCAATAATGGTGGATCCATGTTGCCTATAATTAAGAATAGGCAATTAGTAAGGTTATAATTGGGGAGATTCCTGGTATATTGTATATCCGGAGATTTGTACATTCAGTCAATAAAGAAATTCCTTTTCACGATTCAGTTTCTATAAGCACATTACTTAGAATGCTTTTCAAGTATCTAAATTGGCTGAATGATGGCACTCATGGTTCAACATTATTTTAGTACTCTAAGTCTCTAACGTATATAAGGGAAACAAAGACTATAAAGGAAACGAAGACTGTTAATTTGAGCAAGTTATGGGCCTTTCATTTTTCATGCTAATGACTGAAATACTTTTCCTTAGCTTTTTTAAGATAACTTTTTCTTAGTCATGATCATACATTTTAGCATAGCTTCACGTTCTCAAGACTGATAAATATGTTTCATGTATCAGGGGAATACGACGCAGTCATCATATGCCTTGGTGCAAAAGCGAACACCCTTCCTGAGATTTCCGGGAGGCTTCCTTTGAGGACATGTAGGGGTGTAATTTTGAACCTGGAACCACCTGATATTACGAGGTAAAGTTAAACGTTTAGCATGCTTTCAATCTGAAGAAGTCTTTAGTTTGGCACAATTGGCGTTTCATGAAACAACTATTAGGCCGTATTACTTCAAGAGTATTGTTTTCTTGGAAGGAATCTTTATTGAATTAAACATGCTAGAGATTGCTCTAAAGTTAATATCCCATTTGAGAATTATCCGGCCTTGTCTTCCAGGTGTTATCCTGAGCATGGACCTTCCATATTATCAGATGCATGGATAGCCGTTGAGAGCTCTCGGAGTCTAAATGTGGGTTCAACTTGGGAGTGGAAATCTATAAATTCATCATCTGATGTTTCAATTGACGAAGCTTCAAAAGCTCTTCACAAGCTCCTGCCAAAGGCATCTACTATTTTTCCTGAAATAAAGGATTGGGTTTTCACCGGAGCAAAAGCTGGTCTGAGGGCAATGCCTCCACTCACTCCCCTTGGATCGCTTCCACTTCTGGGTTGTATTAATGACATCATAGACCGTAATCATAGTTGTAAGTATTGGTTATTTGGAGGGTTAGGTTCAAGAGGATTGTTATACCATGGTTGGTTAGGTAATTTGATGGCGCATGCGGCGCTTTACTGTAATGAAGAAGTAATTCCATCTGAATTAACATCTTGGAAAAACATTAACCCCAAGTTTTAGCATTGTCGAGGACATTATTATAGCTTTGTTGAATATTGAAAATATATTTTCCTTTGTGCCTTTCAATTTAGGCTCCATTCAACATATTTGGTTATATAATTCATATAGTTGAGTTAATCATAATTTTGATTGTGAATTGAAATAATTATCTGGTCTACTTAATTAATCAAACTTTTGCACATGATTAATCAGGTGTCGCACGCATGTATAAAAAAAGAAAGGTGACCATGAAACATTTTCTCCAATAAAGATTGGATCATGCATCTAAATTATGACTTTATTAAGCTGAATCCATGTACTGAATTGTGATCAGCAAAAATAGCACATAAAAACTGCATATAAATTTAATTCCTTTATAAAGCTTAAAAATAGTTTTCAAATCTTTCAATTTTATTTACATTTCCTTTGCTTCTACAATAGCCATCTATGTTATTACAAAGCCTAATCAACCTATGCTAAGCATGAATGTGAGATTTCACATCCTTGTATATAAGCTCTACGAATCATAAATTGTGTATTTTCAAACCATCTATCATATTTTCACTAAAATTCCGGGAGAAGAACAAAATAATGTTGGACAACAAAAAGAGGACAAATTGATCTTAAGCCAGAGGTATCTGACCACATATTCACGAGCAGCCTAAGCTAGTCAGTTGTTAATACAACTCTTGCATCGTTATATGTTTTTTACACTGTGTAGTGTTGTTGCATGGTTTCAACGCCAAGACCCTTCAATTTGACAACTGATTCAACGTGTCCCTTGAGTGTGTGTAGCTCTCTCAACCTGAGGAATGCATTAAACTAGACTAATCATCAGCGGGGTTGATTCAAATTCACCACGTGCTTTCTAACACTATTCAAATTGCTAGTTATTAGTTGTTAGTTTTGGAGTTGTTTATATGATATTATGATATAGATGCATTATTTTGAAGCCAACTTGTAAATACTCACCAGCATTCTCAGCACGTCTCAGCTTGTTATTTCAGAGTGCTCATGGTGGTGACTGTTCTTCGGGGCCTCATGGGATTGAAGACCGTGCATTGTGCGTTGAGCCGCAGCCCATTGAGCCTCCCTCTCACCTTTCCCGTAGTCCTTCTTTGTTGTGAATGCAGTCTGCATCACCACACCAACAATATATTGCGACTAAAATAGAAAAGGAAAGCTTCAATCTTTATATAATGGATATTTGTTTTAGACCTTGTTTTGGAGCATGTTGTCCCAGGCACTGCCTGTGAGTCCCATGCGGATAAGAAACTTGAGGATGTCAAGAGGAATGTATGTAATAATGCTGAAGATCCAGATAACTCCAGCCCATTCCCACCCAACTCCATTGATTCTAGCAAAGTCCCAGTGTGCATACACAGCAATGACAGTTGCCACCTAGGTTGAGAGCATTTGAATGGGAAAGTTAAAATCAAATGTATGATGTAAACACTTTGGTTAAGAAAATAACAGTGTTCGATGGAAAGAAATGTTAACTAACCAATTGTGCAGCAATGAAGGCTCCAAGAAGCATCAAACCAGGACGCTCGACAAATGACCAGCTCCTTGACCTAGTAACAAAGATAAGTGCCTGACTAATGATACTCACTTGGAGGTAGAGAGCCGAGTTGAGTTGTTCTTCGCTGTGTGCAATTGGGGGGACATCGAAAATTTCCTGAAAAGAAAACATGTTTATTAGTTTCATTCTATTATGGGAGTTGTTTCCTTTAGTGTTGGGTTGGCATAAGCTACTTACCGAGAAGAAATTGGTCTCATGAATAAGATAGAAGAAAACTGCAGTCATGAGGGCCATATATGTTCCAAGAACGACTCCGGTGGCAAAGATTTCCTTGAGTTTCCATGAGTCAGGAACAGGAGATGGCTTCACCCTGTCCTTGGAGATGGTCATGATGGTACCGTCATTCAAAATGGCGATGATCAAAACCATGAAAGGAGAGAAGTCAAACTGCCAGATTAGAGCAACGAGCATGAACCCGAGAACGATACGGATTGTGATGGAAACGGCATAGATTGTGTAGTTCTTCATCCTTTGGAAGATGGCCCTACTTGTCAACACAGCACTCACAATCACACTCAATCCTGGCTCGGTCAAGACAATGTCTGAGGCACTCCTAGCAGCGTCAGTTGCATCAGCGACTGCAATACCAATGTCTGCCTTCTTTAATGCTGGTGCGTCGTTTACACCATCTCCGGTCATGCCACAAATGTGCTTCTTATCCTGTAACCTTTTAACAATCTCGTACTTGTGCTCTGCATGCCACATGTCAAAGGTTTTTGTTAGCCAAAGCCTCATTTGAGAGAGATCTTTGCAATGTCAACGATTGCGATTTAAAATTTTGCTTATTTTCCTTTGTGTTAGGGTGCTCAGTATGGGTTTAAATTAATGTCATTACCAGGGAAGACTCCAGCAAATCCATCAGCCTTCTCAATAAGCTCATCAATTGGAATTGATGCAATATCTGCATCCTGGCATTGGCCAAGAAGGGAGGATGAAGGGTACATGTTGGTTCCCATTCCAAGTCTGCGACCGGTTTCTATTCCAATGGCAAGTTGATCACCAGTGATCATCTTAACATTAACACCGAGGTCAAGAGCACGGCGAATAGTCTCAGCACTGTCATGCCTTGGAGGGTCAAAGAGGGGTAAGAGACCCAAGAATACCCATGGTTCTCCTGCACTCTCCTTGGTCTTTTCTGAAACAGTCTGCAAAAAAAAAAAAGTAATCATGTGCATTTGTTGGAAAATTTCTTAAACTTCTTAGAAATAAAATCACATACAGTCATATTTGGACACTTTACTCACCTGCAAACCAACAGCCAAGGAACGAAGCCCACGCTCAGCATACTCATCGATGGTTTTGTGTGCCTTTTTCAAAGTCTCTCCCTTAAGTTCACAGAGCTCAATAATCTGATACACATAAGTAGTTAAATTACCTTATGATATGCACTGTTATGTTATTATTTTTCAAGGACTAATTTGACTGCTATATTCAGGGCATATGATTCCTTGGCTTACTTGCTCAGGAGCACCCTTGCTGCTTCTGTGCCAGTCCCCATTTTGGTCAATGAAGGTAATAGCTGTGCGCTTGTCTACAGGATTAAAGGGCAAGAAATGCACCTCAGTAATTCCTGCTCTCGCCTAACATGTCATAGTAATAAACCGATTACAATGTTAAGCCATTTCGCAAAGTTTACATTGATACAAACAATATTTCGTACAAGAATGTAAATCATAGTTAATAATAAATACCTCCTTGGGATCGCCCAACATATTCACAATTGACGCATCAATGGCATCCTGGTTTTCAATTCTTGAAGCTCTTGCAGCATATAGGACAACACTGTCCTTGTCCATGTTAGCTGGGAAAACCTGCATTGTTAAACAATTATCTAAGTTCTTATTTGTTGATATTATCTTATATGTGAGCCACAAACCTCAATCAAGTTCTTGTCCACGCTAAGCTTGTTAAGTGTGAGAGTTCCTGTCTTGTCACTGCAGAGAACATCCATTCCTGCCATTTCTTCAATGGCTGTCATTCTCTTGGTGATAGCTCCTTGCTGAGAAAGGCGGTGAGATCCAATAGCCATGGTCACAGACAAGACCGTTGGCATGGCAATTGGGATACCTCCAATGAGAAGCACCAACAAGTTGTCAATACCATCTCTGTAAGTTCTATGCTGGATCGGGTACATGACAACGATCTCAATCAACATTCCCACAGCAATTGAGCAGATACAGAAATTACCAATGGATGTCAACACCTGATGCAAAGCAATCAAATTATTATTCATAGATCAGTCTAAATTTGGATCATATGTTGAACAACCAGTGAATCACCGAATAAATGACATTGACAGATCGATAATAATTTGAGAAAATAGAATAACTGGATGTCATATACACCGGTCCGTGTCCGACACCAAACACACATTAAAAGATATCATGACATATATGTATGTACCTTTTGGAAGTGACCAACATTGTTGGTGTTGTCTACAAGATGCGCAGCTTTACCAAAGAAGGTGTGTACACCAGTGGCAATGACAATAGCCTCAATTTCACCTTGTTTGCAAGTTGAACCAGAGAAGACCTCATCCCCAGGGTTCCTTGTTACCGGCAAGGACTCACCAGTGAGGGCAGACTGGTCAATCTTTAAGGGATCTCCTTCCAAAAGACGGGCATCGGCTGGGACAATGTCACCCAGCTTGATACTAACGATATCTCCTGGTACCAAAATTTCAGCCTCTTGCTCACTCCACTTTCCATCCCTCAAGAGCTACAAAATTAAAATTGGGTGAGTTGAGATGCAGCATTTTCGGCATTGTTTGCATCAATGGAACTCATGATAAGCAAATGTTACCTTTGTTTTAGGGGCAAGACCAGCCATCAAAGCAGCAGCAGCGTTTCCGGCGTTGTTTTCCTCAATGAAACTGATGGTTGAGTTAATGATAAGCAACACCATAATACCAGTAAAATCTTGCCAATCCGGTGGCTTTCCCTGTTACACATACAAGTAATTATCTGAGAACAAATTCCTACCTATGAAACACGGACACCTCAAACACGACACACCGGCACTAACACGACAATATTAATAATAATTTTAAAAAACAAATAAATTAAACATGATCACGTGTGTCAATGTCCAACACGGACACAGACAGACATAGACACACATTTTTCGGAGACGACAAAAACATTTGTAAATAATGAATGACATACACACCCCTCCATTGGCCAATACAATAGCCATGATAGCAGCTGCCTCCATAACCCATGATAATGGATTCCACATGAAACCTAAAAACTTGAGGAGCTTGCTTTCTGTTTTCTCCTCTAGCTTGTTTGGTCCAAAAATTTGGAGCCTCTTCTCTCCTTCCTCGGAGGAGAGACCCTCTTTTGTACATTTTAGCTGCTGAAAAACTTCATCAATTGGAATGTTTTCCTACACATGTAACAACAAACTGTTATCATTCATTATTAACAAACCAAATGGT